CCCCAAAACCCCAAAACCCCAAAACCCCAAAACCCCAAAACCCCAAAACCCCTTGGGAACTAATCCAAGTTGAATTTAACTGTTGAATTATTTCTGTTTCATACTTTTCAGGAGCTCCTCTATCATCTCTGAGTCCTGATCCTTGATCACATGCAAGTTGTTATTGTCAATCTAAAGTTAGAGGGGCTCTTACGATAGGCTTTAGTGGTTTGATTCTGGCAAAATTGCTCAGTTTCATTCCTTTGTCTAATTTATTATTATAAAACTCTACTAGAATGCTTTGAGAAGGGAATTCCTATAATATTTATGCTACATTTTACCTCTTGGAGATGACTTTAGTATATAATCCTTGTTTGGATCAATGGACCTAGAACTTAGCCAGCAGTGCTTACAGGTCAAATGATGATCTTGAGGTATCGAACAGGGCTTTTCGAGGGGAATATCTATCAATCTTGATATCACAAGTAATTCTATAAAGAAAAGTAGCATTAAAACTCCTACTTTCTTCTCTTACTGTCATTTTTAATATCAGGTAGTTTAGGGAGCTCGAACCTCGCCTCATGAGGAGAAAGACATGTGGAGGTGATATCCATTCTATTGGTCTGCTTACTGAAGTTCACCATAGACTTGTTGGTATCCCATCTAGGAGATAGAGATCTGATCTCCTTCTGGTTGTTATGTCTCTCATGAATATTTCTACCAATATTTCTATAGGATTAGTTTATAAATGTACTCTTGAGAGGAGTTTGGAGTAAAATCTATCGTTTCCTTGAGCATTTCCCTGATTTGGTGAAATTCACCCTCACTTTCCTTATCCAACTTCTGAGGAATCGATTGGCTCACCCTACATGTTGTTAGACAAGGGAATTACTTCAGTGGCTTGAACTTAAGATCCGCCTTAGTCTTTGAATGGACAAGGCCATAATTCGGTTTATAGTGTCCAATGGGAGGTGCCACCTAGAGTTACCAATCCAAAAATGTACCTTCTCAGGATCAAGAATCTTCGACCTAGTTGTCCTAGAGACTGCTCCAAAGATAGAATTCTTAGATAATTTCTCAGTAAGTTGCACTTTTGGAGGTTGGATGACCTTCTTCCTCTTCTCTTTAGCCTTCTTCTTTTTGCTCTCTTCCTTATTATTACCGGTTTTCTTCTGGTCTTTCTTAATTTTGGGCAGCTTTCCGTCATTTTTCCCCTTGGACAAGCTCTCTATCATCTTCTTATTTTGAAGTAAAGTTACTAAAGGATTAGGCAGGAAGGTACCATTTCTCCAGAACTCTTCGGCTAATATCCTGGACTATCTGTCTGGAGGACTTTGGCTGGAATAAAGTGTAAGCGAGGTTGGTGTGACTAATCACTGGCTCCTCTTCTTCCTCAATCTTCTTGGGTTTCTTCCTCATTTTAGCTTTCTATTGAGTAAAAATGATAAATCACTTCGATTTGGTTTGATAGGAACTGGATTTTGTCAATTTCTTTGTTAATTGCATCTGAAATACCAAACCTAAAAGTAGATGGAAAGCACATACATCCGTTTTCCGTTGGTTGAAAGAACTTTGTTGTATCCTCTAAGCTCCTTGATTTGGTCATCTATTAGATTATTCTCACCTAAAATTAATTAGATAAGCTGTCTTGAGCTACTCAAGAAGCTGATTTACCTTCCATTGCTAATAATTTTTATAATTTCAGAATTTATTCCTTGAAAAGGGGTTTTGGGGTTTTGGGGTTTTGGGGTTTTGGGGTTTTGGGGTTTTGGGGTTTTGGGG